TCACCCCCAAGGGAGAAACCCATGTGCCTGCACACCATCTCTAGCCCAGAGGAAAACAGGACAGACTCTGACTTTGAGTCACTGACCCAGGCTTGTTAACAGAGCCCAGAGTGGGTGGCCAAGCCATTTATGGGACAGCCTGGCCACATAGTGCTGGGAATCTCCAAATGTAAACTAGTCACAGCGGAGTTCAGGCTCTGTGTGGTAAGTTATTGTGGGAGGCCATCCGGAGGACTAGTTGGAAAGCTGTTTGGGGAGTCAGAGAATCTGGGAATCAGGCTCTAATCTCTGACTTTAGCAGGATGTGATGCTTCTTCTTATGCCTCGTTTCTTTCTCTGTGGAGAGAAGATCCTGACTCCTGCTCTTCCTGCTTCTTGGGGGATGGTACAGAGGAGTGATTACACACATGGAGGCAGATCCTGGGCCACCTGCCAGCCTGTCGACTCACCTTTTTGCATCTTGGTTTCCTCTAAGATGTCAAATGAGGACAGTGAGGATAGTGGCCTTATTGGGGTTGCTGGGAAGGGTGAGAGATGATGCACATTGAGCTTAGCCCAGTGCCAGGCACATCATAAGGGAGAAAGGCTTTGGGCCATTTAGACAGAAACAGCAGCCAACCCTGCCAGGTGGTGAGGAAAATGTCCTCTTTTTACTCTCACGTGCTGAAAAGTTGGGGTATTGAAATGGGGTTTAGAATCCTGCACCATCAACTTACCGACTGGTGCTGAGACTCAAGGCAAGTTGGAAGAACATTCTGAAGCCCCCAGATTCCATGTGTTGCTAATCGTGAGGTTGTGCCATCAATGAGCTGGCATGCAGAAATCATTTGGCCTGTGGAAAGCCCTGGCATTTGCTAGTTTGTTTGCTCAGTTGTGTTTGCTGCTTGACCTGCACAAACAGGCTTCCTGCAGTCTCTTTCTGACCAACCTAGGAATATCAGGACGCCTCCACCCTTCTCCTTGAAACCTCAGACCCTTGATTAGTGACCAACCTTGTGACAAAGGAGACCAAGGCAGACTGTGAACAAGCAAGGGGAAGGAACCAGGCACTGTRCGTTTCCTCCACATGGGACACTCTGAGAGCTGGAGGTGACATGATTTCTGTGACTTCTTAACAGAACATGTGGAGATCTTGATGAGGACCTCTGTCTTACAGATGGGGAGACTAAAGTGTACAGGGTGCCAGGGACTAGTGAAAGTCACACCGTCCCTACATGGAGCCTACAAATGAATTCCAAACTTTGCTCAGTAAATACAGCTCCACTTAAAGCATGTGATATAGACAAGGAGACTCTGGATCTGCATTCTGAGGCCAAATCCTTTAGATTTTATCATATTCTATATTGGGTTTCCTCTCTGAGTCATGTTTCTTTGGGAAAAGGCTAAAACTTCCTGGGCTAATGGGCAAAGGGAAGAGAAAGGTGGCACCACTCCAGTACAGCCAGATGACCAGAGCAGCCCGCGGAACTCAGTGGCAGCGAGGCCTTGTCCACCAAGGATTTGGAAGAAGCTAATGGAACTGGGAAAGGCAGAAACAGGAGTAGACAAGACACGGTTTGCAGGAAAAGTCCGTATTTTTAATTCCTTTCTGGCCTGGGATTGATTGGCCTTCTACCTTTCTCAAACTGAGAAGGATTTTTAGCCAGTTGGAAAGTTAGAAGCACCGAAGTAAATTCTCGTTATACACATAGGGAAACTGAAGCCCAGAGAAGAGAAATAACTTATACTGAGTTCCACAGCAAGTGAGTACAAGAACAGAGACTCCCTAACTAGTATTTCGTCGGGATGTTTGTGCATTCATTTGATCTTACCTCAGTGGGTCCACTGAATGAAATTTTATGGTAGATTGACTTCTACAGTAGCCCTGGCCCCTGTCCAGTCTGAGCTGGCACACAGTGAAGAAGTCATTTAGTACAAGAACAGTGTAAAGATAGGGTGCGAAGATTTAGTATGAAGGCCGTGGTGCCATCTTTGGCCAGATCAGTGAGATGTTCGAGATAAAAGGAATAAGGAGCCGGTCATGGCAGAAGAGTGCAAATGGCTAAAGACTTCAAAGTAAGAAAACATTGGGAGTATTTGAGAAACCTATTAATAAATAATAAAGCCCAGGGAGTGAGGGGGGAAAAGAACCGGGTGAGGTGTGAAAATTGTGTAGAGATCAGATGACGCGAGGCCTTGAACTTGTGGTAAAGACTTTGGGTTTTATTGTAAGAGGCAGATTTTGTTGAACCTGTGCCTGTATGAGATGCAGATGTGATGATGTCCCTCATGGGTATTGCAGCTCAACAGGGAAGAGTTTCAGGGAAGACATTAGAGGTAACTGGATCGTTCTAATGGTAGAATGCGAGCAAGGGCAGGAGAAGGGGATGGAAAAAGGGATGGGTGAGTTGAGGACAAAGACATTGTCCACATGGTGGAGGTGCGAGATGAAAGAGGGATAGTAGGCAGAGATGATAGTGAAATATGAGTTGTGAGAAATTCGATTCTGTACTAATGGATCTGGAGTTGAGCATCTTCCTATGTGTTGGGCCATGTGCTCGGGCTTCTGCATGTTTCTTCTTGTTTTATCCTCACTACTACATGACATATGGTACTTTTTTAAAAAATCACCCTTTTATAAATGTAGAAATTCACAGTCATGGCAGTGAAGGAATTCTCCCAAAATTTCTCAGCAAGTGTGAGGCAAATGGATTTCAGTTCAGGCCTTTGGGCCGCTAAGGTGGTACTTTCCATATGCTAAGCTCAGTCATTAGAATTTGAGGTGACCCTGCCCTTGGTTTCCCCACTTGGACATGGAGAGTTTTCTCTGTCTCTTCCAGCTCTGATATTTCTTGTGCTCTTCTCGAAAGTTAGGAGGTTGTGGGGAAATGATTCTAGAAGTTGTGGGAGAACATTCTAGATTCTAGATGGGGGTACTCTAGATGAATTCCACAAGTTATGGAAGTAGGAAGGTCAATCTCCTGAGTAGGGAATTGTGAGAAAAGAGAATCAAGCACATATTACTTCAAATTAAAAAGAAAAGCAAAGAGATGGCTCTGACATAAGTACAAAGAAAGAAGGGAGGGAGAAAGAAATGAAAATCCATTCACTCTGTGGCTTAGGCTCTGAGAAAACAAGAACGAATAAGACTTGGTCCCTGCCACAGCAGCCAAAAAGTCTGTGGGAGGATAGATCTGAGAGAGAGAAGGAGAGAGAAGGAGAGAGAGAGAGAGAGAGAGAGAGAGGGAGAGAGAGAGAGAGAGAGAGAGATTGTATGTAAATGTATATTTGTGTACATTACACATACGTATATTTGAGTGCTTGGCATATGTTAAGTGCTATATTAAGTGTGTTTTGTGCATTATTTTGTTTATCCCGCATCACGTTGTCGGGAGGTATGTGTGTATACCTTCATTATTCCTGTCTAATGAATGCATTTACTGAGCCTCAGAGAATTATCCCATGCCCAAGGTCACAACTTTATAGATGAGAATGCTGTGCTGTCGATCTAAATCTTACTGATGTTCAGCCCGACGTTTCAAATTATTGCAAAAGTTTTAGGATGGAGAGAGGTTGGGAGCCAAGAGGATGTGGAGGGAAGGAAGAATGAGAGGGAATCAGGAAGGGCAAAGAGAAAGATTTAAAAAAAAAAAAAAAGAGCTGGCTATAAAGAATGAGCCCATAAGTAAGTACACTGAGAACGAGGGAGGGAAACAAAGATGCTCTCAGAGACTGTGAGCACTTGGAGACCCTGCCCAGGCAGGAGGCGAATGAGGTCATTAAATCCATCTGCGCAGATGGGGACCCTCTGGGGAAAGTTATAAGCAAATGTTATGATGCAATGAGGTGAAATCGACTTGCGTTAGTTCAGGCTGAGACTCCAGCAGGGACTGCACTGCTCGCTTTGGAAAGATGGATCGTGTGCTGGATGGGAAGACACTGTCTCTGTTGGGCTCTTCCTTTCAGTTTCTAGGAAGGCAACCCGGCCCAAGGTCACAGAGCACATAAAGGATGGACTAGGAACCAGAACAGGGGCCTTTCACTTTTTTCTCATGCTAAAGCCTGCTTCAGAGGTCCTTAAAATAAATTTTGTTCCAAACCCACATGTGAATTATTTCCTGTTCAGGATTTCAGCCTAGGCCCAGAATACCAATATGAGCATTAGGCATTAGTGATGCTTTCTTCATTTTCTCTTTCTTTCTTTTTTTTTTTTTTTAACCACGGATTACCACTTTACCACTAAGCCATATCCCCAGCCCATTTTTTAATTTTTTATTTTGAGACAGGGTCTCAATAAATTGCTTGAGGCCTCACCAAGTTGCTGAGGCTGGCTTGCAATTTGCAATCCTCCTGCCTCAGCCTCCTGAACTGCTGGAATTACAGGTGTGTGTCACTGTACTGGCTAATTATGTTTTCTTAAACTACAGTTCCACACCCTTTATTTCCCTTGATCATCAAGAGTTCTACATATTAGGTATCCCACTGTACAACTATATTAAACAATGTTGGGATAATGCATTAGTGTATTACAATTTTTCCAACATAATTTTACTCAGCCCTTTTAGTTGACAGTGGATCTTACATCTCAACTCTGAATATAGTAACCTGACACTCAGAGAGAAGTAGCTTATCTTTCTTTAAGTAACAGATCTCTTATCACTTTGGGCAAATGCCCATCCCTTTCTCAGCCTCAGTTTCTTCATCAATGAAAGGGTGATTTTTTTTTGTTGTTGGAGTTTTTCTTAGAGAATTATAAAAGCAAATTAGTATTTTCTTGTCTGCAAAGTGTTCAGCACATGGCCTGTTACAACGAGTACCTCTGCAAAGGGGACCTGCTATGATAATGACCATGGTGCTACTGATAAAAGTTATTGCAGTGCTAGCAAGAAGCTGAACCATGTCCAGATTTTGAATCTTCTCCTCAAATTCTGTGATGGTCCTCCTGCCCTGAGCTGCCTCTCTGATAATTACTGCATTAGACTTAACCACCTAACTCACTCCCTTTCTGTTTCCCTCTGCAGGTCACCCCTTTCCCTATGTCCTGTGACCTACAAGGTGACTGTGCTTGTCGGGACCCTGAGGCCCAAGAACACAGCCGGAAAGATCTTCGGGGATACAGTCACGGCTAAGGAAGGACAGGAGTTTTCAAAGAATTCCCAACGCCAAGACCTACATCCCTTTGGTATTGATTTCACAGTCCGCTGCTCAATGGAATGGCCTCTCCACACCAGGGATCCTTAGCACCCAACCGGTCTGCCTTTAATTTCACCCAGGAAGGACTCAGAGTGGGGCAAATGAACCAAGTCTCGCCATGTTGAATGATGGAATGGAATCCCATCCCAAAATCTGAGATGGATGGCATATGCAGTGTGCAGTCCCAGAGCCTCCTAAAATTCTAACCATTTGTCACATGACCACAGCAAAAAACATGTTCTGTATCTAGGAGTATGCATATCTGTGGTTAGAACACATGCATGCATACACACCCATACAAACATCTGTGTGAGGACAGCTCTGGAGACTGAGCAGAAAGAGACTGGAACAAACTCAATCTTTCCTTTCCCAAGCTCCTAGCCAACACTATCCTTGGGAGAAAGAGAGTTACAGAAACTGCTAAGACCAAGTACTGAGATGCCAAGATTGCTCACATCCCGGGGCTCAGAATATGTACGGCATGCACAATTGTGCAGTCCTTTGGGATTAGAAGTGAAATGATCCGTGATCACCCACCTTCTAGGGAACTAGGGCCTAGGAAAAGGTAAAGATTCCAAGGTATGCTAAGCCCCCCACCCAATTATTCTGCTGCCATGGGGATTTTACCCCAACTCAAGGGTTCGAGGCCAAGCTGGAAATGGCTTAGGACTGCAAAGTCAAGGTATTATACCAGCCCCCTGCTTGAGGCTTGAGGTCATAAGATCCCTCCACATCCCACCAGTTTCCCAGATCTTGCCTTGGGACCACATTTGCTGCTACTTTTCCTGCTGCTCTATCTTATACATTAAGTACCCCAAGATGGTAGAACTAGGTTAGGAAAAACCCCACACAACCAAGCAGTCTGCCTTAAAAATGACCCATATTTCCCACAGTTCCTCACTTAGCCCTTCTACAAAAGAGAAAAAAAAAAAAACCCTCATGGGCCCACATGGTGAGAAGTTAAGAACCCTATGGGTGGGTCTCTTATCCTGGAAGGGAATTGAGGGACCTCAGATGCTGGAGCCCTTCCCGAGAGTCCAGAACGTCTAAGCCAGTGTTAGATTTTGTAATCAAGTGGAACAGTGTTAAGCTTCTGGGATGTCGGAGCCATCCAGAGACTAGGAATTGTCAGGACTGATGGATTCTTATGTGTCTCCTCGTCTTCCTAGCCCTCCAGGCCCGAGTCAGCATTGAGTCTGAGACCCTGACTCTTGTTCTGAGTAGTTAGAATTCTGGAACAGAGAATCCCCTTGGATGTGATCAGTGGAACTGAGTTCTACAGGGAAAACAGAGGGAAGCCCAAAAGATCACAGCCTTGGTAACCAATGTGGTCATCAGGTTTTCCATATAATTTTCCAGCCACCAGGACTCCTTTCCACACCTGTGAATGGACCACCCCTCCCTCTCTTCCATGTTCAGCTTCCAAAAGTCAAGAGGAAATCAGCCAATGGAACATGGAACTCTCCACCTCTATTAGGGCCTCTTTACCTCTTTCTAGTCAGTTGCCTGTCCGTGCCCTTTGAATTAATATGGGAAGACACTCATACAGGATGAAATGGAGACAGTTGTTAAACCTGACATATTTTTTGAAACCTGGAGCTGGGATGTAAGGAGATGGGAGGGTTTAAACTAATTATATCCATAGAGATCGCTGTAAATCAAGTGATCTCGAGTCAAGTGAAGACAACCAACAAAAGCAAAGTCTAGGACAGAAATGGAAAACACCGGCACATGTGCAGCCCCTCCTAATTCCTGCTTCCAAGGCAGGCATGATTAATCCATCATGTCCCCTTTTCCTATTGGGACCAAAAATAACTTCAGAAATAATCTTATTACTCCCAACAGCCATTACCTGTTGATTAAGAACACTTGAAAAGGCATCTATTGGCCATCTGTAGTCTGTTATATTAAGAAACCTATCTGGTGCCTTTTGCACAGGTGCCCACAGATGCAGTGTTGAGTTTATTACAAACTCTGAGATTAAGTTCCAGAATGGGGAGGCTACCACCACTGTGCAGGCCAGGTTCAAATCCTTTATATTTTCTCCTTTAAAACCATATCACATTTATATTGAGGGATTTTTTAAATTACCAGGGCCGATCCTTAGCAAAAAAAAAAAAAAAATGGTAATAATAATAATAAGAAGAAGAAGAGTGCTAGAAGAATTGACCTTACTTTCTAACCTTCTCCATATTGTAGAACTCTTGAGGACTCTTAGGGCCCCTCTCTTGCTCTAGCTGAGTTAGCAAACGGAGGTGTTAGTTTAGAAGGTACGAGCTAAGAAAGGTAATAGGGCCAGACCTTCCAGAGACTAAATTAGACCCATAAATAATAGAAAAAGCTCTGAAACCCAAAACTGGCATTACTAATGATAGGATTGCAGGAACCCTGGAGAAATCTCACCAACTTCCCTTATGTCAATCCTAATACCATGTCCGCCTTCATTCTCACCGTCCTCTATCCCATCCCTATATTCTCCACCTGAGCAAAGACTCCCAGAGGCTGGCTTTCATCTTCAGATCCTCATATTCCATGGAGTCCTCTGGGTAAAGACCCACCCAGACTCCCCCTCACTGTCATTCAAACTTGTTATTTATAGAGGATATTAGGCAGAAGAGGCTGCTTGATTGGTGGCCAGCCCTGGGCTCACAAACAATGTGTAATTAATAGACTTTTCTCTAGACTTACTGGAAGCATCAGTTCTATCCATGCAATGCAATGCACTGATGCCCAGTTCCATTTTCTCCTTGGGAATAAACTCCTTGTCACCTCCCTTCAGTTATCTGCTTGGGACAATGGAGTACTCAAGAGGAGGTGTCTCTGAAGCACTGCTATATATCCACAGTCCAGGGGCCCTAAGATGCTTAGGAGCTCTGCATCTGAAGAAGTATTAGCCTGTTAGCAACAAGAAAGAAAAGAAGAGGGGGACAATTCTCTAAGCCTGTCCTGGGAAGTCTTTCCAAACCACAACCTTAACTGTCTGTTCAGAGGATTTGCATTACCCCCAAATTCTGTGCCAGTGATCTTGCAGGCAATCCAGTCCTTGGTCAGTCAGTTTGGGTTGGCAAATTGGGTGTAAAGGAATAGAGAGACTAAGATCAATAGCAGGCCTTTGGAGATGGAGGGTATCAGCTGCTACTTTTGGCTTTGGCACATTGGGTCACTGCCTAGATAATTCTCTTGGTCTTATTCCCATCTTGGCCAATGGTTAAATGCTATTTGTTGAAAATAATTCTTTGAGACAGATTTCAGCTACCTCCCTTCCAGGTTTGATTTAACTTGGTTGTAACTGTCAATTTGTTATAGGTCTTACCTGTGTTTAAAAAGAAAAAAAAAAAGAAAGTGAGTAAGAGAAAGAAAGAAAGGGTGAAAAGGAAGGAAGGAAACCATAAAGTCAAGTTAACAGTTCTGAGGTTTTGTGTTTTTTGTTTTGTTTTGTTTTCTCTGGAGCTACTTCAAGTGAGAAAATATATAGAAGGAATTGATGGTGACAGAGCTGTACAGATAGAAATAAATAGAGAACAATTACATTAAAAGGAAATAAAAATGCATGATTAACAACTAAGAATAAAACCCTAACTTTATGTTTCCTAAAGAAAATTGTTTATTCTACAGACCAAGTAGTTAGATACAGCATAAAGATTTCCGTAGAAAACAGAGAGTGGGGTTTTATAACACTGTTATTTTCTGTACATTGTGGTAGGTCCAGTTAATATGGCATTTCCCCCTTGGTGTTGTTGTTGTTGTTGGGGGGCGCTTCTTGCAGTTGTTGGATGCAGTTGGGATAGCAGGGCATGGGGGGGGGGGGCTTTTATTGGTTTTACCCAATGTTAAGGAGAGGTACCACGTTGCTCTGCTTTTCATGCTATGAGGTGTTTATATTCACCAGTGTAGCACAGGGTTTTATATAGACTGCACTCAGGAGCATACCGCAGAGGCCCATTTCCTAAACAGCTGCTACATGACCAGACAGGTAATTCCAATGTGCTTTGAGCCACAAAACAAACCAAGAAAACAACAAACACAAAAAGTAAACAGCAGATGAATCAAAAGCCTCTGTGTAATTTTTTTTCGAATTTTGCCAAATTGCTACCCATCATTTGCTTTTGATGAGCAATATATTCACAGCCAAGAGAGGAGAGAGGTCCCCACCACAGGGTCCTCCAATTCTCGACTCCAGGTAGCAGTTTGTTCAGTGATTTTGAACAAGTGATCCAATTGCCTCTACGTTTTCCTCAGTTTCTCTAGCTGCAAAATGGGGATACTACTACTTACCTACCTCACAGTGGGAGGGCAGAGGATTGTGAGGCCCTGAGGTTTGAAATGGGCTGTGGCCATCTGTGAGGACCAAGTTCTGACATGAAGTCCATGGTTATTTTTTTCAACGCAGGGGTCCATTGGCCTTTGAAGGAAGATAGGGAGTCCTGCTGATATTCCAAAGCATAAAGCTAGAGCCCCTGGATTACTGCCCCCCTTCAGAGAGAGACTTGGATTGAGGAATACTTCACTTTTTAGCTAAGCCCCCTCCCCCGCCCCCTTATTCTGGCCTTGACTGGTTCCATGATTTGATTACAGGCCAGTGACTTCCTACAGAGTAAAAGTCAGTTTACTGTTGTCTGTTGAAGACCTATGGGCCATTTCCACCTTAGAGAGGAAGGGAGTCTCTAAGGTCTCCTCCTCCACAGACTCCTTACTTCTCACACTTCAGCTTCCAYGTCGAGTGTTCCACAAAAAAAACGAGACGGCATTCTGAGTGCAAACCAGTCGGGCTTCTTAAACCACACACCAGCAGTCAGTGAGGGGAACTTCGAACAATTACTGAGTTGCTTTCTTGGGTCTCTATAATCAATAACCCGTCTGCAGATATCTATCTATATAAAGATATTATATATAAATATAAATTTACATATATATGCACATGTATATATAGTTGTACATATATGTGTGTATATATATACTTAAATGTAATATTTACAAAATAAAACTGTGATCTCGTCTAGAGAAAATGTATTCATATTACAAACTGCTCTTCCATATTTATGTATCATATTATGCCTTTTTATTATTGTTATAATTATTATGGGTATTTCTAATTATTATGATGTTGAAATTTGGCACCTTCTGGAAGCTACCAAAAAAATGACTCCATTGAAGTGCTTAAAATCTGTTCTCATGAGAATTCTACTGGCCTACTGTAAAAAAAAAAAAAAAAAGAAAGAAAGAAAAAAAAAAAAGGAAAGAATCTAAACACCAAAAACTAAACACAATTCCAATCCTTTTTCTGTACCTCACGCGCATAAATTTGCTGCTCCTATTTTGGGTTTTATTTTTTTTTTCCTGTTTATGTGTTTTTATGGATCTAAGTTAAGTCTTTCAGCAATATAAAAATGTAAATAGTAAACTTTATTTATTAAGAATGTCATCTTTTTTAATTTATATTTACACAATTGTTCATCTAATTTATTTTTTCTATACGGTTTTAAATACTCAGACATATTTTGCTGTTCATGATATTTTTTATCCTATTCTCATGAATTTGTTTTTCCATACCATTTTCTCTGGTCTCAATTACAGGTTGGATCTCACAAAAAATAATAATAATAATGTCAAAGACAGAAATATTTTGCCACTGTTGATTACTATACTTTAAAGTTCTATATTATGAAAATATATAATAGCTTGTATGCTTCAAAGTGTGGTTGTGTGTTTTTTCTTTTCCTTGTTTTTATTTATTTATTTTTATGGTGCTAAGGATCGAACCCAGTGCCTCACCTGTGCTAGGTGAGCGCTCTACCACTGAGCCATAATCTTAGCCCTAAGGTTGTGTGGTTTTTGTTTTGGAATTTTAAATGACTGTCATTCACACTCACATRTGCCTGTGCACACACACAAACTAATATGGGGGGGGGAATCCCAGTGCCTAGAATTAGAAAATCAATTATAGCATGAAGCTGAATCTAACATACATCCCAATCTTCCACTTAATTCCTGAAAAAGAATTTTACATTTAACATATGCAAAAATTGGAAAACATTCTTACATAATATAAGAAAGTTCCACTTCTGGGGAGTTCACTTCTAGTTATATCTTGTATTTGAATTTTCTGCAGCAGCATATTCCAGTATATTCTTTATTTTTATTTTTTTTAATTGAAATCTTAATCACCCAGTTCTTCAAATGTGTTGGCAGTCCAAACTGAACTGGTTGCTGCTTTCTATCTGTTTAGTGTATCTCATTGTTCATTTTGTCATCACTAAGTAGCTACATGATCTTTGGAAAGTTATAAAATTGCTTTGGGATTTTGTTTTTTCATCTGTGAAATGGAAATTTTAAAAAATACCCATTTCATAAGGCTTTTACTAAAATTAAAACAAGATCAATATGTAAGGTGATTAGAATAATACTGGGACAGATTGTGATAGCTCTTACTGTGACTATCATGAGACCCAAACTGCTTATGACAAGTATGAACAAGAGATGAATTCTCTTGATATCCTTTTTTAAAAGAATAAAAACAGGATGCACTAAAGCACCCATGTCTTGGCACAGGTGTTTCTATGGTATGAATTTATTGTTAGTGTATATGGAGCTGTTGGCTAGCAGTACACCCTAAGCTAAGTCAAAATATCTATCTGCTGATTCTTGAAAATTTTTGAATTTTGCAGAAAGGCATTTGGGGAACATCAGTAAGAATCACATACAAGAGTGATGTAAGGGAAGTTAAGAACTATCCACAATGCATTTTATCAAGTCTTTTAAACATAATTCACTGAAAGACATAAGGG